AGACCTCCCTGGTGGTCCAGTGGCTAGAACTTCGCACTCCCAATGCAGGGGACCCAGGTACAATCCCACTTGCCACTACTAAATGTTCCACATGCCATAACTAAGGCCCAGCATGGCCAAGTACATAAACATTAATAAGCCGATAAGTTCTTTTTATAAACAAGAACCTACTGTATAGCACAGGGAACTATTTCAGCATCTTATAATAACCTGTAATGGAAAAGAATGTGAATAAGAATATAGACAATGTATAACTGAATCATTTTGCTGTACACCTTGCAAATCAACTACAATAAAAATTTTAAATTTAAAAGCGAAAGAATAGGAGGAAGAGAAGGAATGTAGGCAGGGGACAAGTGACAATCGAGCATTCTTAGCAAATAAGCTTGAAAAGGTGGTGAAAAATAAGCCTGAAAGAAAGCTGATCTAAAGAATTGGGAGTTTATTTTGTAGACCAGCACATACTTATTGGACTCCTACCAAGGACACGGTACTGTGCACGATCTTGAATTTCCATATTCGATTGTGTTTCTGTGTTTCCATGTAGGCCTGCCTGTTTGCCAACGTGTATGTTTCACAGCGTGTACCTACTTCTGTGGGTCTCCCTCTCTGTTTTCATACCAGTAGTCACTTTCTTTGGGTGTACTCTTACACATAACTGTGTCCGTGTGTTTATATATGGCCAGCAGGTGGCGCCACAAAATCATAACTAGCAAGGACAATTCCGCCTGTTCCCAGCCGACTACTACAGCATCTCAGACTCTATGGGGCCATGGAGAGATCCTGAGGCCCTTGCAGGGGCTGGGGAGTCGTTTATTTCAATCACTAGCATTATTCACCACCGCATTCCCATGCCAAGCACAAAATCTGGCAAACCGAATTCTTCCATAATTGTGTATTGAAGAAATGCTAACATGCCCTGTGGGAGAAGTGGGAGGTGGAGGGAGCCAGGGAAAGGACAGAAGTACACAGAAGGTGGCCCACCAGTGAAGACCCCACAGGAAGTGGGCCATCAGTCACACTCGTAGAAGTCACAGAAGGATACAGAGGGGGATGTGTTTGATAAAACAGTAAACTCAGCCATTGCTGTCACCCAGAAGACTTCCCCTTCCATAATGTGGCGTCTGATCCTGATCCTTTTATTTCGTGCTCAGTAAGTACTAGGACTTGTGGGAAATACCACCTCTGCTCTCTCAGAGCTTACAATCTAGGAAGAGAAATACAGTTGTTGTTGTTTTTAATTTATTATATGTATGATCCTGGATTTGGATCCTGAACTAGAAAGGAAAAGGAGACATTGAAGAGTGGAAGAAATGTGAGTGGATTTCAAATTTGTGAGCTAGACGGTAGTATTTTAATTTTTTTAAATAATAATAATTACAACCAATAAATCCTCTCTGCCTGTTGTTAAGAAAGTTCCTTCCTGCCCAGAGTGAGAAGTGCTCTATTAGGGACAGGGGCTTCCCTGGTGGCCCACCTGCCAATGCAGGAGAATAAAGAGATGCGGGTTCCATCTCTGGGTGGAGGAGATCCCATGGAGAAGGAAATGGCAACCCACTCCAGTATTCTTGCCTGGAAAATTCCATGGACAGAGGAGTGTGGTCGACTACGGTCCATGGGGTCGAAAAGAGTCAAGCTGAGCGTGCAAGCATGCACGCATGTGGGGAACAGGGGCACAGATCTGGGAGAGGGTCCAACTGGGTGTGTTGACAGACCCTCGGGCTCCTGGAACCTCCTCCCCAGCCCCTTCCCACGCCAGGAGACTATCAGGAGACTGGCTGCTCTCTCTCCCCTATCTGGGCTACCCCGAGGTCTCACCCTTCTCAGAGCCCACACCTGTGATCTCCCCCACAACAGTGCAGGCACCACCCTCTCCCGCAATCAGCCTGATCAGAAGAGGGAAGCTCCGAGTGCTTGCGGGAGCTACCGCTCTGGTAGAAGACAGGGATCACCTTCATACCCCTTCTGTTCCCAGAGGGGCAGGGAGGCTCAGGTTTTTGCAGCAGAAACCTTGAACCAACGGAGATCTACGCAGTGGGACCAATTTCAGGTCAGCTGCACATATCAGGGGCCGGGACTATAAAACACTTTAATGGTCTGGCTGAGCTCGCACGGCCGCGTCTGGCTGCTTCCCCATGCCTCCGCCATCCTCCGCATTGCCTCACTCCTTCCTCTGAGCTGCCAGCAGCACGTGGCGCCGCGTGTGTCGCCACTGCCAGTCAAGGCCTCCGCAGGGCCCTCTGAGGAATCCCATGTACCTCAGTCTGGCACTCAAAGCCCCCTGCAAAGTGCACCCACTTCCTGCCCCAGCTGTTTCTCCCATTACTCCTCTGTACCCATTTTTGCCCAACACTCTCAGCGTCCTGGCTATGCTTCCACTTTCCTCTCCTGCACCTTTGTGGATGCAGCTCCTCCGCCCGGGCGGGGCCTCCCTCCCCATCTCCACCTGGCAAGTGCCCATCTGCCTTTCAAGTGAAAGTTGCTCAGTCATGTCCGACTCTTTTTCGACCCCATGGACTGGAACCCACCAGGCTTTTCTGTCGATGGAATTCTGCAGGCTGGGATACTGGAGTGGGTTGCCATGTCCTCCTCCAGGGGATCTTCCTGACCCAGGAATTGAACCTCAGTTTCCTGCATTGCTGGTGGCTCAGAGGGTAAAGCATCTGCCCACAATGTGGGAGACCCGGGTTTGATCCCTGGGTTGGGAAGATCCTCTGGAGAAGGACATGGCAACCCACTCCAGTATTCTTGCCTGGAGAATCCCATGGACAGCGGAGCCTGGTAGGTTACAGTCCACAGGGTTGCAAAGAGTCAAGAAACGACTGAGCAACTTCACTTTCCTTTCCTGCATTGCAGGCAGATTCTTTATCATCTGACCCTTCAAACATGTGTCTCCCTAAGGCCTTTCATACTCCACCCCAACCTGATTTGGCCTCTTTCTCCTCTCTTGGCAATTATTTTCAGCTTCATTACCTTAATGCTTTATTTTTGGAATACCAATTCCTTCTGTCCAACTCTAAGCTCTTCAAGGGAAAAGCCTGTCTCTTATTCATTCAGTACCTAGCAACTTGTTGGACATGCAGTAGGTGCTCAATAAATGCACAGGAGGTAATATGGCTAAGAGTGTTTGCTATACTTCAATGCTATGAGACACAGGCTCACATAACCGTGAGCTCTGAGGAACACAGAATGTGGGTGCTCTTTCCAGGAGGAGCTGGCAACAACAGCTACATTGAGCATCCATTAGGTGCCATCTGGCCCCAACCCCACCCCCATCTGGCTCCCAGCTTCCTCAGTCCTCCAGGACACACTTTAAAAAAAAAAAAAATCACTCCCTGGATTTCCCTGGTGTGGCTAAAACTCTTCTTTCCCAATGCGGTGGGTCTGGGATCAAACCCTGGTCACGGAACTAGATATCACATGCCACAACTAAGAATTCGCATGCTGCAAGGGAAAACTTTAAATTCCACATGTGGCAACTAAGATCCACTGCAGCCAAATAAATAAATAAATATGTAAAATATATATATATATATATATCCCCTCCTTGCCTCCTTCTTCTCTTCTATGCCTTTCTCCTTTCTCTTCCTTTCTCTCTGCTAAAGTCCTCAGGTTCCTATCCACAGAACACTGGGGAACCCACCAGCTTCTGAGCACTGAGATGAGGAAGTGATTATTAGAGGTCACTGTCTTGGTCAGTTCCTGTTTCTGGAGCAAAGATGCCAAAATCTGTTCCTTTTTCTTTTGAAAAATGTAGGAGTTTTGATTTCCAAAATTCCCAGAACCAAGACTGTCACTGTGAGCTGTCTGTGTTTCTGTCTGCCTGCATCTGTATGAAGGGTGTGCCAAGGCCTCCTGGGCCTGCTCCTCGTGGGCAAGCATCCAGGGGCAGTCTGGAAATGACACCTTACTCCCTGCCCCTCCCCAGTTCCACCACCCCCCACTCGGCCTGACTGAGGAGAGACAAGTGCCTTAGGACAGGCCTGCCTCTGGCCTCCTAATGCCTCCTGGGGCCCCAGGTTTAGCTCTGGCTATTGAGGAGCCCTAGACAAAGTAGAAATTTAAACTGATAACCTGGACTCAGAGGCGGATCAATTTGGGAAACCCTGTCCCTGCTTTGATCCCTTGCTTGAAACTATCCCATGGGGGTGGGAGGAGAGGAGGGGAATGGGAGGAGCAGACACAGCCACCACTGTCTCTGCCCCTAGGCTTGGCGCAGGCCCCCACCTTCTGTGCCCCAGTCCAGACAACCCACTTCATGTGGAATCAGACTCTCTTGAGGCTTCTGCAGAGAAAAGAGGAGGTCCAGGGGAAAAAAAAAAAAAAAGGACTTCCCCAGCAGTCCTCCAGGTTCCTTCCCTGGGTTTAGGTTTGATCCCTGGTCTGGGAACTAAGATCCCACATGTCATGGGGTATGGGCCAAAAAAGAAAGAAAGGAGGAGGGCCAGTATGGGAAGTATTGTAGGTGGAGATGTGGAAGGGTGAGCTAGCAAAAGGAGGCACTTCCCGCTAAACCAAGCTCAGAGCTTAGAGCAAGGGGAAGAGAGTGAGAATGGGCCTTAGCGCTAAGACCAGGCTCAAAGTGTGAAGGTCAAAGCAGTCTTGGTGCCCGGGCCTCAGGGTTGGGTTTGCCTCGCGGTGGCAGGTTCTTTGCGAGTGAAGCAGGGAAAACTGAGCGCTTTCTAGCAGGATCTACATTTGGCCTGTTTTTCCTTTGGTCTCTGCTTTTGTTTGTACTGTGCCTGCCCAATTCTCATTCATTCATTCATTTAACAAACACTTCAATAGCCTAGAACATTTGCAGATAGCGGTGGCCAGGGCTTTCCAAAAGCGTAGGCTGGGGCTTGCAGAGGGCCCCCTGCCGGGAGCTTCAGCATCACGCTCTGCAGAGGCCCCCGCGTGCAGTGCGCCCCGGTTGCACCATCCCAGAAGTGGGGCCCGAGGCCTGATCGGCAGGGAGGCCCGAGGGGATTGAGCAGGGGCTTAGAACAGCTTCCCAGATGGCCGGCCCAGACAACCAGGGACAGGTTACGGGGCCAGGAGACTGGGCAGGGCCGTGGTCTCTGTGGGGGCTGAGCCTGTGCCCGGGGAGCGCGGATGCTGGCAGTGAGTGACGGCCGCGCTCCCAGGAAAGGGGTGCCCCCTTGGTGCCGCGGGCTGGGAGCCGCGCCGCCCTGGCCAGCGCCCCGCCCGCCCCGAAGCCCGAGCGCGAGGCGCCGCGGGAGGAATTCCAGCCATTTCCTCTGCGCCGAGCGGTATGCGGCCTGCTCGCTGCCCGACCGCAGCGCGGCCCGGAGGTGGGGGCCGGCGGCGCGGGCCAGTCACCAGCCGCGTCTGGCAGCTGCCCGGGCCTCGCAGTCCCGCTCCGGATTCCCGGAGGGCCTCCTCTAGTCCCAGCGACCAAACCGTCCCTCGAGCGGGCCCAGACCTGTGCGGCTCCCCCGGCCCCGGCTCCTCCCCGCGAGGCCGCCGCCGGCTGAACCGCCCCCGCCCCGCGCCAGCCCTCCCGCCTCCACGGTCCCTGCCGCGCCACCGCCCCCCGCCCCCCGCCCCCGGCTGCCGCCGACCCCCGTGGGCCCCCGGAATCTGAGTCTGAAACTGAAGGTGGCTCTTGCTACCTCCCTTTGAGGGCACGTCCCTTGGTCTTCCTAAGCCTCAGTTTCTCCACCTGTGAAATGGTCACCCTAACAACAGCGCTACCACGTTTGTGCCGCCCCGAGGTTGAGTGAGAAAAGGAGCGTGCTGGATCAACATCGACGATGTTCTCGTTTCTCTAGGTACCGCTGCGGCCCTTCACCCCCCTGGATCTCCCGCCCACCCTGCCCAGGGCCTCTTCTGGTGGAGCAGACAGGGCGGCTTTAAAACAGGTAGGCGCTCTAGACGGCCGCCTCAGGGACCGGCGGAAGACTCTTCCTCGGGTTTATTTGCCCTCCAGGTTCTTTAAAAGCCTAAAGAGCAGTTATTTTCATGTTTTGAAATGATGTCATCGCAGTCTGAGAACAATCAGGCACGTCGTGATTAGGGGAAGTTGAGGGTGCAGACCCGGATGGCCTGGACCCTACACAGGGGTCTGAATAGAGAAAGGCCACCCCGGGCCCTCTGGGCTCCTCTTTCCAAAGGCAGATACCTCCCCCCACCCCCACCCCATCCCCTCTCGGAGAGCGGACAACCGTTCAGGCGTTAACCCTTTGGAGGAGCAGGAAAGGGAGAGCCAGAGCCCCAGGCGACGAGGAAGGTGGGAGCCACTTCCCCCGCCGCCCACACCCGCCTCGCCCACGCCCGAGGCTGCGGTCAACAGAACACGAGGTGGGGTTGGAAAGCCCCGGGTTTCACCGGGCCTAGCCGCCCACGGTGAGAGCCGCTCTCCTCTCCTCGAGGTTCCCCCATATGGCCTCCGTTTGGATCCTGGAACTCCCTCTGCAGCCGGAGCCCCGAGGCCGAGAATCAGCCGCAAGAGGTGCGCTCCCTCATCCCCCCTACACCCGCTGCAGCCCCAGACCGCGGAAATCCTGGGGGAGACAGGTCTAGAAACACAGGTGCTAGAAACATCCCAGTCCAGTGGGGAGACGCCGCTCGCAGGCAGCCCCTCCCCGCGCACCCTCTTCCGAGCCCGGCACTTCCGGCCATCGCTGCGCTGCAGGCGGCTGTCTGAGTCGGGAGGGGCGGACTCCGTCTGTTTCTGAGGCCTGGCTTCCCTTTCCTGTCCCCAGACCCCCTAACTGCCTAACCTGAGAGTTTTCTCTGTACTCTGGACACACCTCCCTAACTGCCATTCGCAGACGGCTCCCTTCCTGCGCTGGTATTTTTTTAAAGGCTTCTCCCAGGGACCCCAGGCTGTGTGGCCAGTCTTCCGGAAATGCTGGCTCCTCTTACAATGAGGCACAGGGGATGCTGCCTTAGGTTGGAAGGCAACCAACTAAATCACATCTTAAAATGTAGAGTTTTGATTCTGAATTTTTGATAGCACTTTTTGTTTGGGGGGAGGCGGGGTGATGGTGGGGAACAGGCTGGAGGCAGGCTGTATTTAAAAGAGGGGGAAAAGGAAGAGGGGGAGTTAAGTATATGCCAAGAGTGGGTATGGCCACGTTAGAAAAGAGAGTTGCTTTCCCAGCACGCTGGTTCCCAGGAGTTTAGTGGGACTTTCTGAACCAGTCTCCTGAGCCTGGGACTTGTTGAGGTACAGCTCGCTGAGAAAGAGCCTGTTGGACAGGAAAAGACTCCACTGGGGAAAAGGCTAATGAAGTTCCACCGCCTGGGGTTAAGGGATTCAGACACAAAAATTGTCCCCAGGATCTCAAAGAATCTTATGGCTCCAGGAGAGAGTGGCGAAGAGCAAGGCAGGTTTGGAGATGATGAGTGAAACAGATCTGAACCACCACTTTTCAAATGTGACTGTAAAAACAAGCTCTTGCTAAATACTAACTAGAGCCCTGGTTTAAAAATGAAGCCACACCCCTTTTCCAATGTGGGTGCTTACTCTTCAGTGGCTGTGCACAGGAAACACTTGCCCAGCTCATTATACTGAACCCTACTTAGAATGTACTATTCATTCCCTGCTTTACAGATGAGAAAACTGAGGTCAGAGAGACTAATTAGCAGAGGAGAGTTTCAAGCCCAGGGATCTGACTTCGATGGCTACCTGTGGAACCGCTGCTGTAGGGTAATCCACTCTGATGCTCTTTCTGACCAGAGATTGAAATGACTCCACTTCAGCCTTCAGCTGCCTTTCACAGTGAGGAAGACATTGCTGTCACACCCACCAGCCTCCAGCAGGCCGCAGTGATTGCAGCTTCATTGAAATCGATGGTTTTCCTGAGGGGGCCAGGCAACCTATTCCAAGACTCCAGAGTACAGGAGAACACACTGCCCATAGGAGGAGGACTCTGAGTGGCCTGGATCCAGTCATCAAGGTCAGGCCTTCCTGTGTGATTTCAGGACCACAAGGAGCCCCAAGTGGCCTAAAAGTCAACTATAAAAGAACCATTGTGCTCAACACAGAATCAGATGTGTGCTTACAGGTCACTGCTGTCTCATCTTGGGTCATGCATGGGCCAAGGCGACCCGAAGATATTTGTCTAGCTTTCCTAGTGTTTCTTAAAAGTTGAGTTAATTACCAAGCATTTAAAATTGGAAGATGGTACAGAAATATCTGGGTTTTCTTTCTTTTTCTTTTAGCTTCTCCCCCTACATCTTAAGAGCTGGCCACACTGATGAGTCCATCCTAATCCCAGCCATCGCATCCTGTTTTTCACTTCCATCCTCCTATTGGCCCACTAACATTTGAATTTGCTGACCCCCATCTCTCTCACTAAAATGCAGTTATTCACTTAAGAGGTAACTGTTGAGTTTAACTAGTCACATTCTGGTTTGGATATCTTTTCTGGAGAGCTGGTTAAGGTAGAATGGTTGAGGTAAGTTAAAGTGAGGGTAGGAGAGAGTGTAGGGCTCCCCTGGACAAGGCACCCAGTCATACCAGAGCAGAGCAGATTTCTGAGATCCTGGAAGACTGCAAGATGAGAAATTAGTGTTTGAACAACTGACTTGGATGTCAGAACATCAGCTGCTTCCCAGAAGCTCGTCCTTTCATGTATCTTTGCAAACACCACACTTTTATTAGTATCTTGGGCTGCCTTCCCCAAACCTCCTTCTGGAAGTGCCTTGGGGAGTGTCCAGAAGCACACCCTGGAGGTGATTAGAGGGCTGCCGGCTCAGGCTGTGAGCGAGCCCAAAGGAATGGGTCTGGCTTTCAACCAGGACAGAACTGAGCCTGGCAGAGGAGCTGAATGAAGACGAGGACCAAGTGATTAACTGTGGGTTTGAGCAGCCAGGAACTGATGCACGATCTCATTCACCAAGATGGTGAGCAGCTGTGCGCTCTGAAGTGTGGCCCACAGGAGGGAAAACCATCTTCCCCGAACTTGGAAGCTTTCCTGCCAAAGCAGTTTACTGTGCCAGCAGAGAGGAGAGGTTTTGTGTGGCGACGTGAAGGCAGATGAGATGGCCTTAGACGGGCTACCTGATAGACCTTGGGACTGCCTCAGCCTTCCCCAGAGTCCGTGGGGGAGAGTTTCAGCCCTGAATGTTTGAACTCGGACCTTCTTGGCAGGAGTCCATGGGACAAGGGTGTCAACAGAGCCCCGGATGTGTACTCTGGGGTGTGGAGGGCGTGAATGTGATGAAGTGCTTTTAGAGAAACAGGAAATTCAGTTATCAGAGACAGGAAAGTCTGTCCACCTTCTTTCAAACCCAGTGGGTAGTGTGGCACTCAGACTTGTCACAACTGCCTTTGGAAAAGGCGACCAATTAAGAGAGCAGGAAAGGAGTAGGAAAGGCCCCTTCAGGGAGTTGACTGTTGGGTCGGGGCATGTTCTCTTCAGAGAGCCACCTCTCACCTCCCGCATTAGTGGGAGCCCTTGAAATCCCAGTGCTCAACCTTGCCACCATCATCTGCTTTGTATCCAATGGGACTAATCTCATGGTGAACTTGCTCCTGTTATGTCAGTCCTGAAATCCCCCTGGCTCCCAGAGGTCCTGTCTTTCTCCTATTCTGTGGCCTCTCCCACTCTCCCCACTCTTGAAACTCTTCTTCCGTGACGTCTGGAGTTCATAATCCATGATTAGCAAACTTTCCTTTATCCTCAGTCTGTTCTCTGAGCATCCTCTTCACTTCTTTCCCTGTGGGACCCCCAGGTCTCCCCTGAGTTCATTGCTGACCCCACAGCTTTCTCCAGTGGGGTCTTTTTTCTCCCAGCCTTCTTCTCTAGGCCTAGAGGGGAGTTAGGTGTCCTCCTTAATCCTGATTGTCACCTTTGCAAGTAGTCTCTTGCATACCACATTTAGTTGCATCTTATCAGATTTTACCAATCCCTGCTATCTTCTCCTGACCCCCTGGCCATATTTTGTTTGCAATTTTTCTAGATCTTGGTTCACCATCACTCTTTCCAACACTGTCTTAACTCTTGGTGATTCAGTATACATATCAATGACTCTTCCAATACCCCAACCTTTCAATCTCTTGAATTTCTGTCCTCCAGTGATTTTTCCCTCCCCTCAACCCATAGTTGTGATTACACATGACTGCAGTCCCTCCATAATCTCAATTTTATGCATCCTCCTATCTTTCCAAGTTATCCCCTTTCTTGATCTCAGTTATCCTCTGACCCAATGAGAACTTTCAATCAATTGATCCCACCACCCTTCACTGTTGCCCACCCCTTTGATATTCTTACTCCCCTACAGACCCAGTGTAAAATGTCATAACCATGTCAGCTGGAGAAATACACACAGCCAGGCTGCTTGACCTCATTTGAAGTTCATACTGATGAAACTTAAGTGGGCCCTTAGTGCTTCCCAACTGTAATACTTAGGTTTCCCTGGTCCACTCATTCACCTAGGCTCCTGGATGAAACTCACAATTTCATACTTTCTTTTCTCTTCTCAAACCCTTCATATTCCCTCCACACTCTCTATCACCTGAATTCTCAAAGAATCTAATGGGATTCTTTTTCCCCTGGGAAAATAGAAGGAGCCAAAGGAGAAAGCTGCAGATCCGTAACATCGCATTTATCCCCTGTCCAGCAGTTTCGTCTTCATACTTTGCCTTTCCACCTACTATCTCAGTGCTGACTCATCCATCAAAAGCAAATTCCTCCACTTGTGTAGGCAATCCAGTCCCTCTCACCTACTCATGGACATTACTCAGTAATTCTTTCTTTCCTCTCCTACACCAAATTATTACTCTCTGCTGGATTCTTTCCATCAGCACAAAAACATGCTATTATTTCCTGCATCTTTTAAAAAAAAATAGTCTTTTAATGACTGTACTTCCCTTGGCAGGCTGTCACATTTTTTGCTCCACATTAGAGCAGATCCCTCAGAAGAATCATCTGTACTTGGTATGTCCAATTCCTCTCCTCCAGTCCTCTCTTACACCAACCCCATAATCAGGTCTATATCCCTCAGAGTTCCACAGAAATTATTCTGGCCCAAGTCAGCATGACTTAACTAAATCCAGTGGTCAATTCTCAGTTCTCGTCTTATTAATAGCATCTGATATAATGGACCACATCCCCCTCCTCCATATATGTTTTTCCCTAGGCTTCCAGAGCATCTCACTCTCTTGGTTTCTGTCCTCTCTCACTGCACCCATCTTCTTGGTCTCTTTCCATGGTTCCCCCTCTTTCTCCTGACCTCTAAATGTTGACTTGCCCAGGACTCAGACTTCAGTCCTCTCCTCTTCCTTTATCCACCTCTTTTGATGGTCTCATCCAGATATGTGGTTTTACATACAATCAATACACCCATGACCCACATTTATATCTCTAGTCCAGACCTCTTCCCTGAACTCTAGACTCATATATCCAGCTGTCTGCCCCGTATCTCCAAACTCAAGATGTCCAAAACTGAATTCTCGAGATGCTCCCCAAACTTGATCTGCCTGCAGTCTTTCCTGTCATAATGGGTGGCAACTCTATTCTTTCAGTGGTTCAGGCCAGAAAACTGAGTTATCCTTGACTCTTGTTTTCTTCTCACATGCACATCATATCTGGTAGGAATTAACTCTACCAACAGAATACACCCAGAATCCAACCACTTCTCACCTCCTTCATGGCTGCCATCCTCGTCAAAGACACCATCGTCTCTCTCCTGGATTACCACTGTGCCCACCTGTCAAGTCTCCCCACGTCTACTCTGGCCTTCAGCAAAGAAGCCAGAGTGATCCTTTTAGAATATACTTTAGACCATATCACTCTCTAATCAAAACTTCAAAAGCCCTCTCTCCTCTAATTCTTTTAGGGTTACTCTTTAACAAGTCCCTATTCCTCTCAGTATAAAAACTAGTCTTTATAATGGCCAAAAGAGGTCCTACATTAACTATCTACCCACCTCTCCCAGCATTCACCTCTTTCTTTTTTGGAGTATTTTATTTTATTATTATTATTATTATTTTTGACCAAGCTGCATGACTTGCAGGATCTTAGTTCCCCAACCAGGAATCGAACTCAGGTCCCTGGAAGTTGGAAGCACAGAGTTCTAATTGCTGGACCACCAGGGAATTCCCTGTCTTCCTCTCTGGATACTCCCTTCCTCACTCATTCTGGGAGCCCAGCCTCCTTGATGTAGATGTACCCTCTACCAGAACACTCTTGCCCAGAGTCTACTTCCAGCTTTCTCATTTCTGCAGTCTTTAGATTCTCAACTTTTCAATAAGACCCACTTGACCACCCTGTGTAATACCAAGACTTGCGCTTTCCCTGCATCCTGACACTCTTGATCACCCTTAACCCGCACAACCTTGTTCTTTCTTGTCCCCAAAGCATTTATTATCTCCTAACATACTATATGATTTATATATTTATGTTTATTGCTTATTATTATCTATCTTCCCCTCAACTCCACCCGCACAGGGATCTCTCTCTATATTGTTCACAAATACATCTGAGATGGCCAGAACAATGCCTGACACATGGTAGAGAAAACAATGCATGTTTTTTGGAATGAGTGAAAACAATCCAGATACAGAGAGACTTACTCCCTTGCCCATCCAAAATTTCAGTGTCAAGAGCAAAGGGGAACCAGAAAGAGAAGTTGGAGCTGACCATAAACACATGATTCATGGGCAAAGTCAGGTCAGGTTGGAATGAGCAACCTGAATGCTCATAATCACTAGATAGATAGATAGATAGATAGATAGATAGATAGATGATAGATAGAATCTCCCACATGGTGGGTAACAAAGTGACTTTATTAACCATATATAGAGTAATAAAAGCCTGGACCAATGACACTGACTTACCCAAGGTCCCATCATTGTCAGTTGCTTTTCAGCTGTTCTTCCAGCCCTAAGTGGGCCAATTACAGTTGACACTTGAACAACGTGGGTGTGAACTGCCTGGGTCTATTTGTACATGGATGATTTTTAATAAATGTAAAATCAGCACTCCCTATTTGCAGGTTTCTCATTAAGGGGTTCAATCAACCACAGATTGTTTAGTCCATGGATATGGAGGGTCAGCTGTATTCAGTGGACTATACCATCTTTCATAAAGTATTTGAGCATCCACGGATTTTAGTATTTGCAGAGACTCCTGGCACCAGCACCCCGTGGATACAGAGAGACAACTGTACAGGTTGGCAGAGCCAGCAGAGACAGTAGAGGCTAAAGGACAGGATCCTACAAGTGGAAGACTTTGAAAAAGAAACTCCTGTCTCTTCACCTCTTCCTTTAAGTGCCTTGTCAGTGAAGGCTGCTGCAGTACCAGATGTCTGGGGCAGTACCCAGGCCATTTCACCAGATTTCTGCCATTATTGGATGCAGATGGTTAACAGTTCTGCTTGCCTGGCCCTCACATGTTCACCGTTAACAGAGGCCTTCTGGAGGCCTTGCCTTCCTTTCCCATAGGGATTACAGCCTCCAGGTTGACTGCCAATGTATTCCTTCTCGAAAGATGCCAATGTTACGCAAGGAGCCTCTACACTAAAGATAAACCAGTTAAATGAGGCTCCTGAGGCCCTCCAGACAGTTTAGATGGAGACCCTGTGGTATCAACCATGTGGCTGCACCAGGAGTTTGAGGCCAGAATAAGGTCTGGGACAGGAGACTTTATGGGTCCTGAGGCAAAGTAGAATCTCAGAGACTTTACAGAGTTGAGGCTTCAGCTTATGACAGGCCTAAAGAACTGCAGGCAGAACTTCCAAAGAGCTCAAGGCAGAAGCTCCAGAAGATCCCCCTTGATTAGACATGAAGACAAGACCCCAATTTAGAATACAGACTCAAACCATCTTGCCTTTTTTCCTGAACAGGGGCCTGTTCGGCAGCACCTTCATCTTAAGCAACGTATGTGCATTGATGGAGCTTACCTGGTGCCAAGAGAGTAGTGAGAGGCATGGAAATAAGGTAAACCAGTGTCATTTTCTCCATAGGAAACCTTCATTCGTAAGGAAGGCATTCATCTTTGACATGAATAGGGATGCCATCTGTGGTTCAGAGTAGACACAAAAACACAGCGGAAGAAACAGCACTCCTGTATAACAATATAATTTAAATTAGTTAAAAATATTTACCCAGTCCCATGAGAAAGGTCAAAGGGCTTAAATTATATTCTCAACACTCAATCTAACATCTCCTTCCTCCACTCACCATTGCCCCATTCACTCTCCCCAAAGTCAGCTAACAATCCTGACCCCCTCCTCTGTACCTCCATCACACATACACATGCACACACACAGGTTCTTGATGCCCTTCCTCACTTCTGTCTCCTTGGATCTTTTCTTTTCTCCATTTCCAGTGTAACGATTCCTGGCCTCTTCAGGCTCCTTTCAAGTCTTAGTTCTTCCCAGTTCTTACTCTGATCAGCACAGTAGCAGACCAGCTGAGCTGGAATCTTTCTTAGGCGGTAGTTAGGTAAAGTTGTACATATTCATGGGGAGATAATGTATAATCCTATACCTTTCCTCCATATCTCTTTTAAGGATGTGGTTTTAATATCCACGTCCATCAGCATTTTCTTCCTAGGAGAAAAGAGAATGAGGCAAGGAAAATAGAGTGAGGGGAGTCAGAATGTGTCTGGGGAAGGAACGAGGCAGAGGTTCTTTTGATCTGCTCCTTACATTCAGCTCAGATGCCTACACTGGACAGTGCCCAGGTTATTGGTAGATTCTGGGACATTCCTATGTTAGCACAATCAAAAAGAAAACTGAACAAAACCAATAAGAGGTTAAGGCACAAAGTCAAAGTAGAGAGGAATCTCTGGGCCTCTGAACTTGACTTGAAACATTCTGTGTGAAGGCAGGAGCTGGGAGAAGAAAAAAAACAGAGAATTGTGTTTTGATTATTTTTTTTCTGATTGCAAAAGTAATGCATGTTCAATGTAGAAAACCAAAAAAATACAGAAAAGTACAAGAAGGGATTGGAAAAACAAAAGAGGCAACACTTGTGTTCCTGCCACCCAGATATAATCAATATGAACATATTTGTTTACATTTATAATGCATGCATATTCTTTTTTAATCAAATTATAAGCATAGTATGTATGTTCTTTTAGAAATTTTTTTCTCATTTAACAATGTATCATAATTTCCCCAAGTCACTAAATATTCTTACAGACAATATGATTTGTTAAAGCTGTTTATGATTTTATGCTGTGAATTTACTATCATGGATTTGACTGGTTTTATATGGGGGAGTATTTAGGTTGTTTCCAAACAAGGAAATTGTGGCAAGGTTGTCTGCACCACCTGTGTTTTCAGACAAGCTAACCTTTTTCCCTTACCAGCAAGTAAGGATCCCTTCAAAGTTCTAGACCAAGAGAACCCTGTATTGGCAGAAGTAACTCCTCACAAGCATTCAGCTATCCCTGTGTCCTTCAGAGAAAGCCTGGCATTAGGCTTACTCTGAGCATCAGAGTAAGGATACTTACTCTTATGGCCAGGCCATTCTTGAGCAGATGGAGGGAAAATATTTGTCATTCTAAATCAGGGAGTCCATCCAACTCATTCAATGCAATCATCCTCAAAAATATATTCCTGTGCTAGTCCTAAGCTAGATATTATGGAAGAAAAGATACGGTTTCCATGTTACATAAACCTGCACTCTTCGTGTGTCGACAAACACAGAGGTGTGAAAGAGTCAGGTAGAGACAGATTATGTGTGAATGACTATGTGCTAACTCTGTGGTTCGAATCACAAGTGCTTTAGGAGGTGAGAAAGCTATAAGCACAAGGTAGACTTGAGTGGTCTGGGAAGACTCCATGGAGAAGGTGGAGCTTGGAGGCAGGATGGGCAAGGAACCTTCCCTGTGGAGGGGACACAGAGGCCAGAAAGCCCAGGAAGCAAGAAGGAGGTGCATGTGGCTACAGTCTGCAGTTGAGGGAGAAGTGGTCCGTCTAATTGGATAAGTCATATATGGAGCACATGCAGAGAGAGTCAGAAAGATGTTTGGCCCTAATTCTGTAGCTGTTTCCCCTTGTACCAGAGGTGTCACATCAAGAAAGGAAATGTCCAGTCAAATTCAAGCTGAGTTGTTCTTGTTTTTTGTTGTGTGTGGGGTAGCAGGGTGGGGCCAGGGAAATGGTTTATAAATAGAACTTTTCAAAGCCTTTAATATTGTGTATGTATGTGGCAAGGTCAAAAGAGGAGGGAATCCGACTTCCCAAGAGTCTTTGACCACAGAACTCTTGTTACCATGGACCATCTCCTTGGGTGTTCAGGAGACACAATTAGGGGCTAGTGAGGACTCCCCTGGTGATGCAGTGGATAAGAATTTGCCTGCCAGTGCAGGGGACACCAGTTTGATTCCTGGGCCGGGAAGATCCCGCATACCACAGGCAGCTAAGCCCGTGCCCCACAGCTACTGAGCCTGCGCTCTGTGGCCTGTGCTCCGCAAGAAGACACCACAATGAGTAGCCGTCACTCGCCACAGCTGGAGAAAGCCGGTGCACCGTGACAGATTTTCGAACTCGAGAGTAACACGTGAGGGAAAACACAGTTTGGGGAGGTTAATCTCATCGCAGAATGTAAGGTGAACAAGAGAGAAAACAGCCTGGATTCAGGCAATACAATTAGATGATTGAATAAAGACTCCAGATAAGTGGGCAAGGTTGGAGCATACTGGAGCCGAGAATGAAGAACAAAGCATTAACTGAATGCCGAGTCTGCTATTGGGCTCTGGAGAGATTCAAAAGTGTCAGAGTTCCTAGGTCTCTTAGGTGTTTGAATCCATTCGTTAGGATTTTCATTGCAAGGCACAGAAATCAACTTAAAGCAGCTTAATCAAAAAAGAGTGTTTTTAAGGAAATAGGGATACTTCTTGAGGAGCTGAAGCCATGTACTGGAAAGTTGGCAAAAAGTCCCTGTCCATCTGGTCTCAGCTACTCTGTGTCTGCTTCATCATCCTCATATTATTTCTCTCTCCTCTCCTGTCCTCTAACAAGCCCTCCCCTCTCCCCTCTCCCCACTCTCATTTATGGAAGAAAATGGCCTCTCTACAGCTCCTGAGTTTGCATGTTACACTGTTGGCATGACACAGTTCCAGCTATATCAGAAGCTAAATATCCATCTCTTGTTCCCAATTTCAGATTTCCAATGGAAAGAATCTCGTCGACCAGCTTGGGACACATCCTACTCTGACTAGGGGGACAGGTTTTAAAACTGAAACATGGCTTCAGGAGACTTACCCTATGAACAGTGTGGGGGACCCCTGCCAGGAACAGGTGTCTGCTATTGAGTGATGCTTGGCTTCCCTGGTGGTACAGTGGTAGAGAACCCGCCTGCCAATGCAGGAGGCTTGAGTTCAGTCCCTGCGTTGGGAAGTTCCCCTGGAGAAGGAAATGGCACCCCACTGCAGTATTCTTGCCTGGGACATCCCATGGACAGAGGAGCCTGGTGGGCTACAGTCCAAGGGTTGGCAAAGAGTCAGACATGACTTAGTGACTAAATAACAACAACATAGAGTGATGCCTTGACCTTTCATTGAAAGCTTGCTTCTGTAAGAGTTGAACATGACCACACTATTGTTGAATGAATGGATAACCAGGAAGCTTTAAGGCAACTTCGTTAGAGTCCATATTCTTGTCCCTTTCCCAAACTCCTTCAGTCTCCCAGTTCTATAAAAACCTGCAGATGAAGGAACCGGGATACACAATGGTTATTAGCACACGTCTGGGTTAAATTGCCTTATTTTGGATCCTGTCCTTGAGGACTTGAGCAAGTGATGGAACCTACCTGAGCTTCAGGCTTCTCACCTCTAGAATGGGGATCATGAGAATTAACTAAGATAATATGAGTAAAGTGCTCAGCACAATGCACCTAATTATGTTGAAAAGTGAAAGTGCAGTCGCTCTGTTGTGTCCAACTCTTTGCGAACCCGTGGACTGTAGCCATGTGTCTCCTGCATTGCAGGTGGTTTCTTTACTGCTAAACCATTGGGGAAGCCCTGCAGATTGGGTCAAAAGAAAGAGAAGCAGAAAGTGGAGTGGGTTCAAATACCAAACTCAAATACCAGGCTTCTCCGTCTATGGGACTCTCCAGGCAAGAATACTGGAGTGGGTCGCCATTCCCTTCTCCAGGAGTTCTTCCCAACCCAGGGATTGAACCCAGGTCTCCCACATTACAGGCAGATTCTTTACCATCTGAGCCACCAGGGAAGTCCAGTTATGTTAAGAACGTAAGTTTTAAACAGAAAAATTAACTGATGGAGGGGGCTTCCTGGTGATCCAATGGCTAAGACTCTGTGTTCCTAATGCAGGGGGCTCAGGGTCAATCCCTGGTCTGGGAACTAGATCCCGCATGCCACACAAAGACCCGTTGCAGCCAAATAAATAAAATAATTTTTTAAAAGAATTTAAAAAAAATTAACTGATGGAGCTGAAGTTGACAGGAGCAGATCCAAATGTCTTTGATAAACGGGGCAAAAGAAAGATGAATTGTCAGATGGGCAAGTGGTCAGCTTGGTTCTCCAGATATCCCCATGAACGTGGCCTTTGGAAGAAGAGGTTTGGGGAGAAAAATAAGCCACGAACATCTTGTGGCGCCAACAGGGACTTTAGAGGTCACAGGTCATACGGGCCAGTCACACTCCCTTTTGTTCCTAGAGATTTAATACCTACCAGCCTATTAAATGGTCATGATTTGGAGGAGAGAAGACAAGAAGAGGAATTACTTTCAGCTGGCCCCGGTCTTTAAATAACCCGGGGTACAGCATCTTTCAAACACAAAGGAGACCATGTGTAAAACATTAGTTAAATTCAGATATAAATCTAGTCTTTGACCAGTCCAAAGCTAATCAATATGCTTTTCTACTCTCTTTGAACTTTGAATTTTCTGGCAACAACAAAAACCCCACACCCCATCCAAAACCATCGTCCAGACAGCCCAACTCCTCTGCTCCCCTCTCTCGT